ATGGGCCAAATGACAAAACAAACACTCCTTAATGAAAGGTTGATTAAGTAAATAAGTTATAAAATATATGGGATGTTTTAATAAAATGAAAATTATAAAATAGGTTTAAAAAAATATATAAAATTATAAGGTGTGTTCTAGTAAATGTCCCTAATAGAAACATATAAGAGTAGAGTTCACATCTGCATCCCACAACACATCTCCACCGTGTATTGGAAACATCTCCTGATGATAGTACCAGAACCGATGGTGTCATCATCTGGAGATGTTCCCAATTAGACCTGTTCATGGGTCGGGCTGGGCCGGGCTTTTACTCTTAATTAACAGAATTTTTTCAAGTTTGGGCTTGAGCTCGACCCGACCAACGGGCCTACAACTTGGGCCCAATCCTTGACCCTCATAAAAAGCCTGAAGCCCATGCCCGAGCCTGAAGCCCGACTTAACAAAATGATTATCCCTTGTTAGGTCGGGCTCGTGGTGATAGCAACATTCAACAACCCGGCCCTCAATAGGCATTCAATGTATTATCCCTTCAAACAGGTCGCTTTCAGCTCATGGTGATAGCAATAGAGGTAGAATGCGTAGAATCAGTTTTGTAGATGTAATGGAGACGTGGGCTAGTCAGTAGAAGGCAAAAAAGTTCTACATAGAATTTAATGGTTTTTGGAAATAAACTACAAACTTACTGCTGGAGAGGGAGAGAGACAGAGAGAGGAGGAAACCCCAATCTGCATAGAATCAGTACTACAAACTTACCTCAATATCCTGCTCATGAATTCTGCGTATCCCTTCAATCATTTCATGCAGAACATTGAGAGAGATCCCATGATTCACTACCTGAAAGAAGCCCCATGTCTCCGAAGAATGCCACACTTTTTCGACAATCTTATCACGAAGTAAAGGGTCTTCACTGACGCCTTTCATTTCTATGACTGGAACCCCAACATCAACATGGGTCTGATCGGAAACTACCTTCTCCTTCAAATCACCCGACGGACTTAGAAAAATATGGGAGATCTTGGCCACTCCAATGTCAACTAGTCCTTTGACGCCAACTTTTGTATCGTCAAACTCTCTCAATTCTTTGCGCAAGAGAGAGAGAAAGAGAGAGAGAGAATCTGGTCAGTGGTCACCGCCGGAGAGAGAGGTTGGTGGTGCTGGTGCCTGAGTTCGCCTTTGAGAGTTTGTCGGTGCTTGAGACTATGAGGGTGAGAATGAAAAGAGGGAAAATGGGAAAGGTTAGTCGAGTTAAGGAATAGGGATTTAGGGTCTTAAAACTAGTTGGGCCGGGCTTTTTTGACAAATCCTGAGCCCGACCCGAAAAATAATCGAGTCGGGCTTTTAGGCCTGAGGTTAAGCCTGCGGGCTAAAAATCATGTTCAAGCCCAGTCAGGGACCGGGCCAGGCCGTTGGGCTACCCGACCCATGAACAGGTCTATTCCCAATAAACGACGTGGATATGCTATGGGGCACCCCCTTGTGGGGCGCAAATGTGAACTCATAAGAGTATACAATTGTTTTATATTTTCAACTTTTTAAATAATTAATAATTATTCATATTTTATATACTACTTTTAATAATTTTTTTATAATACAAAAATAACAATAATTAATTTCAGTTAGGTTTATTCATCAAACTGATGAAACCGACCAATCCGATCAATTCGACCTGAGTTAGTCGATTTTCTAGTATTTTAGGTCGGATTTGGTTAAAAAATTTCCTAATTCGACCAAGTTAAATCAGTTTCACTTTGGTCATTTGTAAACCGACCAAAATCGAACAGACTTAACATATAAATTAATATTTTATATTTTAAATATAATCTTTAATATGGAAAAGTGAGAAATTTCCCATATTTCTTAACCTAAAATGTTTTATATCATAAATCTAAGTTTTAAATTTAATTTTTAATAATTAAACAAACAAAAGGTCAGTCGATTTCAAGTGACCAACTCCCCAACCTGACCAGGTCAATTTGGTTGGCCAATTAGCCAGTGACCGAACCGAACCAACTCATGAACACTCATAATTTCAGTTAAATTAGTAGTCTCATCTTTGATAAATAACAATAGTTTAATCTCCAATAATTATTGAAATTTTATAGCGAAAATACACAATGATTGAAAATATATTGATAATGAAAAAAACAATAATTACAAAAATACAATAAGTACTAAAAGTAATATTAACTTAATCAATAAATAGTATAATCTCAAATAATAGTTTAATCTCTTATAAATATTAATCAATAAGTTATAAAAAAAAAATACAATAAATTAAATTTAAAAATTTCAATAGTAGTAGTTTAATCCCCCAAAACAATAAATAATTACTAAACTACAATAAATATTAATTTTAGTATATATAATTATATAATAAATATAGATTAAGAGTTTACAATTATTATTAATAAATAGTACTTTATTTAAAAGTTATTTTCTCAAATTATTACTTGATATAAGAGAAATTAGTTACTTACAATATTATATAAAAAATATTAAATTATTATTAATTTCAATATTATGTTATAATTATTTTTCTACTTTTTAGAATTTTTAAATTTATTACATAATTTCTTTATTTTAACTATTTAAAATCTAGTTATGTTAAATATTTATTTATTTAAAATATTTAGTTTTTTAAATACTTAAATAATATGTAAAATATTTAAATTTAAAAATATAAATTATTTATTGAATTTAATTATCTATAAAATCATAATTTATACTTTTATTACATAATTTCATCACTAATTTTATAATATATTAAATTATTGTTAATTTCATTTTATGTTATAATTATTTTTCTACTTTGAAGTTTTTTTTTTTAAATTAATTACATAATTTCGTTATTTTAACTATTTAAAATCTAGTTATGATACATATTTAGTTATTTAAATATTTAAATAATCTATAAAATATTTACTTTTTTGTTATTTAATTTCATAATTTAAAGCTATTACATATTATTAAGTATTTGAAAAATATTTATATTGATAGTCTAAAAAAAACATAATTTAAATTATTAGTACATAATTTCTTGATATATTTTGTAAAAATACAAAATTATTTTTTATGTTTTTAATAAATATTTTAAATTTATTATATAAGTTTGTTAGAATATTTAAATAATTCTTTAATTTTTAATCCAAACTTTCTTTAGATAGATATAGATAAAAAGTAGGGGAGAGGATAAATAGGAATTAGAGATAATTTAGGAGAAAAACTCCCTACTAAATTAGAGATAATTTTGGAGTAGGGAAAATTTTAGGAGAATAGATTGTTTATGTTATTGGGAAAGTGCATCTCATTGGTTGTTTCAAAAATGACATGGAATAAAAAAAAATAAAAATTTCAAAAAAAAAGGAGAAAATTTCTTCACCGCCATGTTTTAATGATCTCAGTTCCAACGAACAAAATGAGTGTAGATCTCAATTTCGACGGGTTCCAAAGAAGAGAACGAGAGGGAGAGGGAGAGATCTACAGAGATGTTGATCTCAGTTCTGACAAAGAGAACAAGTGTAGATCTCAGTTTGGACGGGTTCTGGGAAGAGAACGAGAGGGAGAGGGAGAGATATATAGTTCTAGCCGTAACTGGAGTCTTACTGTTTCCTGATCTACAATTCCGAGAAGAAAACAAGAGGGAGGGAGAGGTCTGCAGTTTTGGCAGTTCCGACAGTTCTAGAGAAGAGAACAAGAGGGAGAGATCTATAATTCTAGTGGTTACAGAGAAGAGAATGAGAGGGAGAGGAAGAGATTTGGGAGATCTACAGATTCAATAGTTCCGATGTTTCTATAGAACAGAGCAAGAGGGAGAGGGAGAGATTTGAAAAATCTACATTTCTGGCAGTTCTAACAGTTCCAAAGGAGAGAGAGAGAGAGAGAGAGAGAGAGAGAGAGAGAGAGAGATCTACAATTCTGGCAGTTCCGATTTTCGAAGAAGAGATCGGGCAGGAAAGGGAGAGACACTTTTTGAAAATTCAAAAAATGAGGGTAAAATAGTCTTTATATTTCCATTGACACACATTAATGACAAAAAAGATGGTCAATTGTCAAAAACAATAAGGCAGCGACAGTTCATTTTCAAACAGTAAGGGTACACTTAATCAATTAGATAAACCATAAGGGTAGTTTAAGAAATTTACCCTATATTTAATAAAATAGGTGCATGTCAACACAAAAATAACACCAAATACAAATAGAAAATTTCAGAGAGGGAAATTAAAACAAAAATATAAAAACAAGGAACAAATTATTCATTTTAATGTATGACAAAAGCAATTGTAGAAAATAATGGAAGGATCCTCCTCTTTTTTCTCTTTTTCTTTTTTCTTTTGAAACCATTCCCATTTCCTCATTTCATTTTAAAAGTTGTTACAAGGGCGATATGCATATTTGGGATATTGCTCAATTCAAAGGACAGAAACTTTTTTTTTTCAATTTACATTTTCACAATAGACACTAGGACACCCCTAAACTGTATTTGGCAATTCGATAAATTTAAAAGCCTATATGCATCAACCAAACTAAGGGTCCGTTTGGTTTGCAGTTGGAATCCTTGGAATCGGAATCGGAACGGTCAATTCCCATAGTCTGTTTGGTTCAAGCAAGAATGGGAATAGAATTCCGAAAACAATTGGAATCAGAATAGTCCATTCTGATTCCGATTCCAGACCTCTATTCCCACGAACCTAAGGGGGCCTAAAACCATTATTAGACCAGAAGCTGGTTCCCTGTTTATGGTCCGAGTCTCACAAGACTGAAACACTAAAACCTATATATGGTTAGATAGACAGGATGTACTAAAATGTACCTAGGGCAATAATATTACGATAAGGGGTACTGCCCACAAAGGCATCTACTTGCCAATGCAGACAGCCAGACACCCTCGTAACATTTAAGATGGGCACCTCACCAAACTTGCCTTGTTGCAAAGGGATCCCATGATAACTACGGCTAATTGTGAGTAGTCTTAAAGATGCTAAGTGTAACAAGTCATAGAATAAAATAAAAACATCATACAATTATGAAATCAAGAATACACCGATATCATGCATATAACTTATGCATTTATATGTCACATAAATGCAACTAAAACAACAACGCAAGTGTACAAAAGATTCAAGAGAATGAACAGCCGTTGTACCGAGGAATCAATAAAGGAAGATCCAAATGAAGCCACCCCATCTTAATGAAATTGCAAAGTACAAGTTATGGGGAATGATACAAGAATGAATAGATGACTGGAGATAAAAGCTTATGGAACATGATGATTCAATAGATACCCATATCCATCAAATCCTATAATCAAACTCAAAATTACTTCCCAGTTGAGATTCCTCAGCCATCCAAATACTAGTAAGATGAAGACACCATTAGAGTTGCAGAATTTGACACACAAGCTCTTCCATGGGACAGAGAAAGGAACTTAAGTTGTTCTCCAATTACCTTCCTGTCTTGGCTCGTTTCATCCCTGTACTGTTGAATGGAGACATGCTTGGGCTCATGTGTGGGCTTTCCTCCCTCAATGTACCATTTAGCATAGCCAATTCCCTTAACTGTTGCTTTTTATAATAATCCAAGGACTCATCCTGGAAACAAAAGTTCAAAGTACGTTAGTAGTATGTGGATGCAGGGGAAAAGCAAAATACTAAGGGAAAAAAAACCCTTCAATACCACAGGCTTCAAAAGGTCCTCCAATATTGCAACAGCTTGATTCAAACGGGAATCTATTACATCTGCTGGAAATTCAGCCTCCAACAACACATGTAAAGGCTCATTTAAGTGCTCATATCCAGGTTTATCTCGAAGTTTTTCTTCCTAGAGGAAATAAGAATTAAGCCATCAGAAATTCAGATTTAACAGCTCAAAAAGAAATGGTAAAATCAAATTCTGGTAAATGAAAAAAAAATTAAAAACTGTTTGGATATTTGAATGCTGTAACATGTGAAAATAGAGTACTTTACAAAATTATCCATGGTTTTAAAAACGGAACTGCTTTGACCACCAGTTACCAGATCAAACGGTTCAACCATCCAGTCTGAACCCTGATCAGACAGTTCTCAGGTCCAAAACCGGAAGCAGAGCCATGACCAGTTCCAAAGTCAAACAGTCCAACTGTCCAGTCTGGTTTTCAAAACCATGAAGTTGCCCCTTTGACTGGAACAATTTGATAAATCTAAGGTGGTGTTTATTTTTCAGGAACCTACTTTCCCAGATAAGTGCACTTACCCATGTTTGTTTTTTGTTTAATTTACGGGTGTAAATGCATTGTGGGGGCATTTTTGATCATCTGATTTTTTTCATTTACCCTCTAGTTGGGAAATTCAACTTACCTCCGTCTAAGAAAGGGTATCACTTACCCAGGAAAGTGATACATGGAAAAATCAATTTTTCCGGGTCCCACATGTTTCTGAAATAAGATCATGGGTATGTTGGTCAATGGGAACCTCAATCCCAATGACCAAATTTTTTTTTTGATAAATAAAATCATCTTCCATTATTTCAAAGATTAGTTACATGAAAATCCCCTTAGAGGCACGAGGTGCTGCCTCTCCAAACAGCAAATACATAAATTACAACAGAGACTACATGAATGTTGATGTTAAAACAAGAGTTACAGTTGCACCCAAACGATGTTTCCCTATTTGTCCCTTGTTTTGCCAAGACATAGGCAAATGCATTAGCTGATCTCCCAGCCCACTGTACTGTTATAGACATATTTCTTGTCAGCCTTTGAATTTCTTTAACTCATTTTTGTAGCCCCAAGTGACATCCTCGGGATTATTTAACCAATCCACCACTGTCTTAGAATCCCCTCCACGCCCACTTCTTTTGCAAGAAGCATTCCTTGTATAGTTGTATTACAGCTAACAGCTCTGCCCGGATAGAGTTCCCAACACCTAAAGGGCCAGAGTAGAGTATGACAACCTCTCCAGTCTCATACCTCAATACACCTCCCATCCCAGAGGGACCCGAGTTACCCTGGCTACTCCCATCAAAATTCAGCTTCAAAGAACCAAGAGGATGGGGGACCCAGCTAGTCAATACCCACCTTGGAGGAGGAGCAGCTTGCTACTAATAGCCAATCCTTACGACAATCAGTAAAAGAGAAATGGTTAAACAATTCTAGGGTCTTTAGCCAATGCATTGACCTGTACATAATGCAGTCCTTTAAGGCTTGACTGCTCCTTCCTTTTTCCTAGAAGTGGCACTGGTATTGCAAACTATAAAAGTTCAACAAAAAGAGAGTGGAGGATTAAAGAAAAATGAAGAGATTGGAGTATGTATAAGTGGAGATCGATAAAAGGAAATTTGAGAGAAAAGAGAAGAATTAAATCGAATGAATTGTGTATGATAGTTTTTGCCCGTCCACCCTTTAACTATTCATACTCTAAATAATGGTGAAATTATTTTTTTTACCCTTTAAAGAATTGAAAGAAAATAACAATAAAACATCAATTACATATTTCTTTACTCCCCCTCAAGTAGAGCATAGATATTAATCATGCTCAACTTGCTTAGAACATAATCAAACTTCTTTTAATTAATCCCTTAATTAAGAAACCAGCCAACTGGTCCTTGGTCTTAACATATGGCAATTGAGGGAACCCATTTGTCTATCCTCTAAATTCCAGGGCATACACAGACAAATGATTGCTGAAAGGAGAATGGTTACAATATCAACAATTTATTATTCAATCCACTAAATTCAAGGGCATACCACAGTGAAGCTTGATGTGAATAATTTACAACAGGGGGAGAAGCATTAGCAATTTATTATTCAATGCTGAAATCTCTGTGTGGCAGGATATTGATTTGATGGAGGTAATTGTTTGGAAGAGTAAAAAAGGATGTTGAAACGTTTAGGAAACTTGTGGAAAGAAACAGGGTCTTTCAATTTCTTACAGGGATGAATCCAAAATATGACATTAATGTAGGGGTGAAACTTAAAGCAGCTCAGGGAAGGAAGGATGTTATATGTGAGTATTGCAAGAATGCAAAACATACAAAAGATACTTGCTGAATAACCTAGAACTTTTGCCAGCTCGGTTCAAGAATGCTAAAAATAAGAAAAGATGGAAATGGAGAGATTAGGAATGCTAATGCAGCCATGGTTCTAGATAGTGACAAGGGTTCTAATGAAAAGACTACTATTGAGCAACTGGCAGAAGTGAAGGCAGAATTTGAGAATTATCGGAGGATGATTAATCACCTTGAGAGAAAAGTTGCATCAGCTTCTAATCCTTCAGGCAATTTAAATTCCATAGCTTTTGCACAATCAAGTGTATGTGCTACTGCCAACCATGTAACTACCTTGAGTAATTGTACAATCCCTTGGATTATATATTCTAGAGCTTTTGATCATATGACTAGTATTTCTACCTTATTTAATTCCTATAACTTGATTTCTGGTCATGATAAAATAACACAAGCCAATAGCTCTCTTGCTCCTATTTCTGGCAAGGAAGACATCAAGACCACAGATTCCCTCACCCTCACCTCTATCCTTCATGTCCCTAAACTCCACAACAACCTTTTATCCGTAAGTAGCCTGACTATATCATTAAACTATTGTATAACCATTTTCCCTTATTGCAAATTTTCAAGATTTGCAGTCTTAGAAGGTGATTAGGAGTGCCCATGAGGCGAATGAAATATACCTGCTTGATGTTACTTAGCAAAGCCCAAGAAGCACCTAAAAGTCGCTTTTGGATCTCCCTCTTCAGTGTCTATTAGTCGTGTTATGTTATGCCATTTCCGACTAAGTCATTTTCTTTTTTTAGCTTTGAGTCAATTATTTCCAGTATTGTTTAAAAGAGTCAATTAGTCAAGTTTGCATTCATGTAAGTTTTTAAAGCATTGTAAAAACACTTATCCTTTGAGTAATAAAAGATCTACTTTTCTTTTCCTTATTGTGCACTCTAATGTGTGGGGGTGGCTATCAATACTTTATTTTGTTTATTGATGACTTTTCTTAGTACACTTGGATATAATTGTTGCATTCGCATGATGAAGTCCCAAAGATTGTGAAACAAGTTCATGAATTTATCCTTACACGATTTGATACTCGTATCAAGGTATTCCTCAATCAAATGATGCAAAGAAATATTTGAGAAGGGTCTTATTTCTTATCTTCATACTTTTGGGGTCATTCACCAAAGCTCTTGTGTACGCACTCCAAAATGGAGTTGTTAAACGAAAAAACCATCATATTTTTAAAATAGCCAAAAGCATTTTATTTGCCTCACATGTTCCTACCAAATTTAGGGGAGGGGGTGCTGTTTTTTTTTTTTTTTTTATCAATAACATCAACTTCATTAAATTAAGAGAATAGAGGGAAAAGAATACAAAGGGAGATAAAATAACTTAGCTCCCCAAAAACAGAAAACACAGGGAATGCAAAGAAAATTAAAAACTAGCCCAAAAAACAGCCTCCCTATTCACTCCTTGCTTGGCCAACCCATCCGCAAATGAGTTGGCACTCCTCTTCACCCAGCTGTACTGAATCTCAATGTCCCTACCCAGCCATAAGAACTGTTTTTTTCTCATTGTTAAAGTTCCACAAACCACTGACCTCTGTCTTCAACCAATTAACCACCACCTTCGAGTCACCTTCCAGAATCAAACGGCTAATATTTAGATCTTTTGCTCTTCGAATTCCTTCAAGCGTTGCAAGGATCTCAGCCCTAAAAATAGGGGGTGCTGTTATTACAACTTATCAATCATACGTTATCCCGAGTCTTGGGCTTCAAGCCTCATTTTAGCTTCTTGTTTCCAAATAAAGACCTTTGAATTTAAGGCCCGCAGATGTTTATTCCTTGATTATGACTCCACAAAGAAGGGTTACTATTCTTTTGATCCAATTAGTGGCACCCATTTTGTTTCCATGGATGTCACTTTTGCAAAGTCCATTCCCTTTTATAGTCATTCTCCTAAGGAGGAAACTTCATCTGAGTTATTTGATGTTCCTTTTCCTATTTGAGTCCAATGGTGAGCCTCTTGTTCAGTCACCTCCTTGTGTGTCTCCTCCTATTGAGTCATCTCCTAGTTCTCCCATTCTAATTCCCCCACAACTACCTCCATGTCCCCCTTCATTTGTGCCTCATCTTGTCCTTCAAAAGTGATACCAACAGAAAGGTTCAGGAATGAGCAACTTGTTTCTACTTCTACAGTTGAGTCTCCTACACTCCAAGTTGCTAAAGAGACAACGAGTAATGAGCCCATAGGCCCATACCTTTGCAGCCCCCTTTACCTGACCTTGATATCCCCATTGCCATAAGAAAGGGTAAGAGAAAGTGTAGTGCACATTGTATCTCAAAGTATCTCTCTAATGGTTTGCTCTCCCCACCATGTTATTCTTTCTTACCCTCTGTTTCCTTTTAGCCTATCACTAAATTTGTATTAGAAGAATTCTCAAAACCAGAATGGAGGGATGCTATGAAAACTGAAATAGAGGCATTACATAAGAATGATACTTAGGATGTGGTTGCTTTACGTGAGGGCAAGGAGCCTATTGGATGCAAATGGTTTTACACTATAAAATACCATGGAAATGGATCTATTGAACGATACAAGGCTCAATTGCTTGATAGAGGCTATATGCAGACATATGGGATAGATTGCTTGGAGGCATTTGCCACTGTTGCTAAGTTGACATTTGAAAGATTCTTATTATCTTTGGCAACTAATTTTGATTGCCAACTCTATCAATTTGATGTAAGCAATGCCTTTTTGAATGGGGAGTTGTCTGAAGAAGTGTATATGTCTCTTCCTCTAGGATGTATGGGAAAGAAATACAAGGTATGTAAATTGAAGAA